GCTCTTAATTTGCTAATGAGCCCAGCTAGGGAGGAAGTGTCTTACAATGGGACACTGAATGTGAGCAGAATTGCCCATAATAAGCTTGATTGCATCAGACCTACCAGGTCATAAAGTTGACTGGGCTCAGCAGAAAATCATCGTAAATTGGAAATGGAGCACATGGGATCAGGCATGAGCAGGTGCAAGCAAGCTGCACAAGCCAGGAGCCCAGACACCCATGTCACCCACTACTGTTTCAGCAGTACCTTCCCACATCTTGCCCCGAGGGCTGCATGAAATGTCTTTTATTGCCAACTGTGAGAGAAGGGAAAAATCTAAACTTGGTATGGATGGTTCAGTTCAGAGCTGAAAATGAGTGATAGCACCCCAGCGGCACTGATGGAGTTGCAAGCGTTGTACAGGAAAACTTTCCCGAAGAACAGAACTTCTGGCTGGTGCCCTGGCTCATTCATGTTCTGTGAAGTAAGCTCATGACAATAATTTATATGGTTTTATGGGCAGTAGGTTGGCCAGTTTGAAAGAGACTCAGTAGAAGATTTGGACAATTAGAGATCAAGAGGTGTGAGGTAGAGGAACGTGGTTAGACCTATGAGAAGGAACATAAAATGTAAAAATCTTTGCCTACTTGAAAATACATAATACATGGAAGGATCACGAAACAAGAAAGTGTGGGGAGCAACCCGGACTGGACTGAGTTACTGGAATTAAGACTTATTCTATGCATCTGCTCTCCCACAATATGGCGCTGGGAGAGGAGAAAACAGCTTCTACACAGCTGCCTCCAGTTCAGCCAATAAACTGTAGGACTTGCTCCTGATTGGAGGAGAGCAGCGTACTCGGCGTGTGGGCAGCCGAGTTGGGATTGGCAGAGGAGGACTATAAAGGAGGAGAGAGATGGCATGCACCAGGAACATCTAAGGGGAACATCTAAGGGAAACACCTGTGCAGCCCCCGAGAGAGCCGGCCGGCGGTGTGCCGCTCCCCTGCGGAAGTGGGGAAAGTGGCCAGGGGGAACCGCCCTTCCACGGAGGTGGAAAGGACAGTAGCCAACCCGGAAGAACCAGCAGCAAACCCGGGGAGGGCCGAGCAGACGAAAGAACAGCGCAGGGTCCTGTGTCGTTCCTCCACGAAGAGGGGGAGCGACAGAAAGTATACAGAATTACGTAGCTAACTGGTATTTTTTAATGATTTTATTTATTTATTTGAGAAGCAGCCTTACAGATAGTGAGAGACAGAGAAAAAGGTTTTCCATCTGCTGGTTCACTGCCCAAATTGCTGCAATGGCCAGAGCTGGGCCAATTGGAAGCCAGGAGCCAGGAGCCTCTTCTGCGTCTCCCATGCAGGTACAGGGGCCCAAGCACTTGGGCCATCTTCCACTGCTTTCCCGTGCCATAGCAGATAGCTGGATCAGAATAGGAGCTGCTGGGACTTGGACCAATGACCATACAGCATGCCAGCACCACAGGAGGAGGCTTAGCATACTATGCCACACAGCCGGCCCCCTAGCTCGCTGGTGTTAACCAACCTTAATCACTGGTCACCAAAGTGCTGGTACGATAGGCATAAGGACAGAGTGTGCCAATATTGTAGTTAAACAGATAAAGCCACCAGCCAGCCCCATATGGGTGCTGGTTCATATACTAGTTGCTCCACTTCCCATTGGCTCTCTGCTAATGGCCTGGGAAAAGCAGTGGAAGATGGTCCAAGTGTTTGGGCCTTTGTCACCAATGTGAGAGATCTGACTGAAGCGCCTGTATCCTGGCTTCAGCCTGGCCCAGGGCTGGCTGCTGCAGCCATCTGGGGAGTGAACCAGTGAATGGAAGATTCTCTCTCTCTCACTGTGGGGAGCAACTGAGACTAGACTAAGTTACTGGAATTAAGACTTATTCTATGCATCTGCTCTCCCACAATATGGCGCTGGGGAGGAGTAAACTTCTACGCAGCTGCCTCTTGCCAATTTGACTGATAAGCTGCAGGAGCTGATCCTGCTCCTGATTGGAGGAGAGCAGCGTGCTCGGCGTGTGGGGAGCAGAGTTGGGATTGGTGGAGAGGACTATAAAGGAGGAGAGAGCCAACATGCACCAGGAACATCTGAAGGAACACCTGAGCAGCCCCCGAGAGAGCCGGCCGGCGGTGTGCCATTCCTCTGCGGAAGCGGGGAAAGTGGCAGGGGGAGCCGCCCCTCCACGGAGTTGGAGGGGTCGGCAGCCAACCCGGGAAGGACCAGCAGCAAACCCAGGAAGGGCCGAGCAGACAAAAGAACAGCGCAGGGTCCTGTGTCGTTCCTCCGCGAATGGGGGAGCGACACTCTCACTATAACTTTGACTTTCAAAATAAACAAATTTCTCTTTTAAAAACAGAACAGAGTAGCCAAGGAGGCAGAGATGGAATCTATGCATAACCAAGCAGCATGAGCTCCTACTCATCCAGACTGATCTGGCCACTACCACTTCTGGATGATCAAAGGCTCAGCAACAGTGACCAACCTTCATTCTCCAAAACAATCCCCCATCTACAAGGAGTTTTACATTTCCATTTACACCCAGTTGACCATATCAGATTCCTTACACCCTGACCAGGAGAGAGAGTCATTTTAATTAGCATCCTTGCAGCTACTGGGGATGGGTTGCCCTTACTGCCTGTGAGGCATCTGTAAGTGCCACCTGTCAAGGGTCTCCAGGGACCCTTTGATAGCTGGGATGCGACAGACCAGCATATTTCATGGCAGTGTGCCCACTCCCATCACTCTCTGCTGAAACACAAAACACTGGCTGATGCAATATTTTGTAAAACACTAACTCACTGGTAATTGCCTAAAATCAGCGAGTGAAAGAGCGGCTGTTAGATTATGGGGCAGTGAGGAGTACACGTGGCTTGTAGATGGAACTATAGTCAACTTCAATGGTAAATGAAAAGTATGGCAGCTATAACAAGACACAATCATAGCAGAGGTTAAACTCCTATGGTGTTGTCTGCTAGGGAAATGTGAAACTGATGTGGAGAGTAGGAGAAGGGGAGAGGCCAGGAGAACCCCTGCAGTGTTAGACTTAATCCATCTTCTTCCACACTGTGAGATTTCCCAGGAAAGGATCCTCGCCAGAGACCTGCAGGAGCTGCTACCAGAATTCCCATGGAGCAGGTAGGTCTGAGCAGCACGGTGAGAGGCAGATCCGCAGAGAGGCCGGACTGTGCCTCCAGACGCCTGGCTCAGGACTTGACAAGTTATTTTCCCAGCTGCCAGGAAGGAACTGTCTCAGCTGGAAAGTCACAGAACCACGTTCACGTCTGCTTTGTCAGGAAGTCAACACCCAGTGCCTAAGGGTAGGTGTGTGGGATGGCAGTTACGATGCTGCTTGCAATGCCCACATGACGTATCAGAGACATTCAAGCTCAAGCTCTGCTCTAAATTCCAACTTCCTGTGCAGGCACACGCTGGGAGTCTGCATGTGATGGTTCAAGTAGCTGGTTCCTGCCAGCCATGTTGGGTAACTGGATTGAGTTCCCATCTCCTGGCTTCAGCCTGGTCCAGCCCTGGTTGATACTGATACTTGGGGGAGTGAAACATGGAGGGGAGATCTCTGTCTGCCTCTGTCTCTCTGACTTTCAAATAAACAAGTTCACAGTTTTTTTTTAAATAAAATGTTTGGGCACTATAAATGGCCAGCACATTCACCCCAACTCAGGAAATCTCTGACTATCTCCACAAAGTCTCCCAATCATTTGTGACAGCACTAGTCTTACCTCTCCATTGGCTCCAACCTGCAGGTGTTGATCCCTACAGCACCCTCCAATAACATTCTTGCATGGTCAACCAGGCCTCCAAGTGTACTTCCCAAGGAACTCAACCTGTGATAATATATTATTTAAAAATCTGGAGACAGCTCAAAGGAAAGCTACAAGTGATGGGGAAGGGATATGACAATGGAGAGCTATTTTTCCTTACAAGGTTTAATTTTCTAAGTATCATCATGTATTTTATAAACACTTTAGAATAAAATTAAAAAATAGCAAAAAAATTTCACAATGTAGACTATACTAGAGAAGGAATTGTGGATCAGGTTTTTTTTTTTCCAACTCAGTTTATTTTCACTTGCAAATCATCAAAATCAAAATATAGGCAAACTACTGATACATCAGAAAGCTCGCTCTCCTACCATGCTATGTAGAAACCACGCCATATGCCCTCTACTTTCATTTCACATTTGTCCTTGCACACAAGAAGGTACTCATCCCCACACAAAACCAACACAGACACTTGGTTCTGAACTTTTTCTTTCAGGCTGCCACTCTCTAAAATCCAGACTTGAGAAAAATGATAAAAACAGCAAATCTGAAAGGATATCACAGATGTATCACTGAGTTGATACATGCATTTGAAAATCAAACAACCAGGGCTGGTGTTGTGGCTTAGCAGGTAAAGCCTCCACCTGCAATGCTGGCATCTCCTATGTGCCTGGCTGCTCCACTTTCAATCCTGCTCTCTGCTATGGCCTTGGCAAAGCTGTGGATGATGGCTCAAGGGTGTGGGACCCTCCCACCCATATGGGACATCTTCTGCTCCTGGCTCTTGGCTCCTCGTTTCCATTGAAGCCATCTGGGGACTGAACCAGCAGATAGAAGATCTCTTTCTCTCTCTGTCTCTGTCACTCTATAATGCTTTCAAATAAAAATAAATAAATAAATCTTTTAAAAAATTAAAGTCAAGGGGTCGGCGCCATGGCTCACTTGGTTAATCCTCCACTTGTGGTGCTGGCATCCCATATGAGCACTGGGTTCTAGTCTCTTCCAATCCAGCTTTCTGCTGTGGCCCTGGAGGGCAGTGAAGGATGGCCCAGGTAATTGGACCCCTGCACCCACATGGGAGACCAGGAAGGAGCACCTGGATCCTGGCTTTGGATCAGCGCAGCGCCGGCTGCAGCAGCCATTTGGGGAGTGAACCAATGGAAGGAAGACCTTTCTCTCTGTCTCTCTGTCTATAACTCTACCTGTCAAATAAAACAAACAAACAAATAAATACATAAAAAGAAAGTCAAACAATCAACTGAATTGATTGATTTGAATATGCTTTGATGTGTCTGATTCATCCTACTGGAGGAAAATATCAATGACTCGGTCAAACCTAACTCACATGGCCTGAATTAAATGGTCCAGGTGTAGCTGTCTACCTGGAACCAAGGATCAGAAACTTACTCCACATGTTTGAAAGAAAACCAAACCTATCAATGGCCAAGAATTATCAAATAAAGGTTGATTTTTTTTATTTGACAGGTAGAGTTATAACAGTGAGAGAGAGAGAGAGACAGAGAGAAAGGTAAAGGCTGATTTTGTCTAAGGACAGTTGATAAGATCTAGAACTATAGGTCACTCAGGACGAAGAAGATATTAAGATCCTTCAGATTTTTCCATACCACTAAATAATTGCAAAATTCCAGGTCTAAGAAGCACTACAATCAACATCATGTACACAAAACAGGATGTTCTGTTCCTAGCATTGCCATTTATTTAGTTACAAGTCCCCTTGGCAGCATCAATTCAGACATGTCATACTCTTGGACATTGCCTCTGTAAACCTGAGCCACTCACACACAGTACATCAGTGCTCTCCAATTCCATGTCAGACTCTGTTATTCTATTATTCTAAAAGACAATGCCATCTGATAAAACACAATCTTCAATGATTGACTTCCACTTGGTTGCTTATTGTGAGTTTTTTGTTAGTTGCAGTTTTAACTTATCATCTGCAGAATTTATTTAGGGGTGGGCACTGGCATAGCAGTTAAGATGGTGCCTGAGATACGGAGATTAAGCCCCAGCCTCTCAGCTTCCTACCTGGCTTCCCTACTAATGTTCACCCTGGGAGGCAGTAGCTGATGGTCCAGTCACGTGGGAGGCTGGATGGAGTTCTGTGCTCCTATTTTTGGCCTGGCTCACCCCTGGCTACTGTGGGCACTTGGGGGGTGGACCAGATGAATCAAAGATACCACTTTCTCCCTCCTCCCTTCTCCCCCTTCTTTTCTCTCAAATAAAACAAAAGAAAATTCATTAAGATAAAAATGTATTAAATTATATTTGGGAAAGCATTTTTGTTTGTTTTTAATGGAGCTGCTTCCCAGAGTGAATAAGGGCTGTTTGAGTGCCAAGGCGTTTATAAGATTAAGACATTATTTCTCACAGATGACCCCCATGTCATAGAGGCAACCCTGCATTGCCACACTGACTCTACTCTGTGTGTATGCTGGACATTCAAGATCAATGAGCTTTCGAAAGCTCAGTCTTCTCAAAATGAAATGGGTCTTGTATCATTTTTCTTATTTGGTTTATTTGAAGTTACAGAATCTTTGTGTTTTACATCCGAGAGAGGTACCCTATCTTCCTTCATATCACATCTGTGCATTTACACAGCCAAGTGCTCTGGAGAAGAAGGGGAAAAAGGATCCCATGCAATTTAAACACATCATAACCTTTCCACAAACAATTGCTGACAGCTAAATCATTGTTTGCTGGCAAATGTTTAAATCTAGTGTAACTTGACTTCACTTGTTACAATCAACAAATATTTTTCTACTTTTATTTCCTTTTTTCGGGTCTGTTTAAAGGGAAAAAACACAATAACCTTAGCATTTGTTAACCGTTTGTAATAATCACAGAGTCTATCAGAAGATGTAACACCCACCACACACACACACACACACACACACACACACATACACGGAGAGAAGACATACATCTACACATATTTTTACTGTTTTAAGAAAAAGGAATCTCATATAATTTCCTAATTTTAAACTTTAATACAACATTTCTTAAAATATATTCTGCATTTCATTTCAAAAATGCATTTTATTCAGAAAAAAAGAACAGATTACAAATCAGGAAAGCCAAGTCACGGAATGTGATGCGTCAACGCATTTGGAGGCCATAACATTGCAGGCTCCAACAGTGCAGAGTGCAAAGGACCACAAGGCGTCACCGTCTATAAACCTGTCTACATTCCAGCTACCCACAAGGCTAGCACCGCTACTAAATAAAGCACACACCTGTAAAAGACTAAGAGCTGTGATGATATTTGCCTTCAGCTTAGCTTCCAATAAATGCTAGCATTTCTGTCAAATCCCTCCCTCACCACCACAGGTCTTCCAATTAAAAGGAAATGAAAGTATACCATTTACCAATATAGTCTTTCATAAACTGCTATGCTAATAGGTCCTTAAGATTTAGTTAGGCATTTACAGAAACATCAATATGGACATAGTGCTAGGAGAAGAGACAGGCAGGTTTTACAAGGAAAGTTAATAAGGGAAACACAGAAAATAAGCAGATAGTAATGCAGAATTTACATTATTTCCAAATTTTCTGGCGGACACAAACTAAGGAATACAGTATTTACTTGGGAGGCACTTGAAGGTGTGACTATGAACAGCAAAGTGCCTTGGTTACAGAACTGGCTTACAGAATTCAAGGTAGCTCCATGCAAGCATCTTATTTACATGCCCTCAAAATTCATCATGGTGATAGTTCCATAAGGCTATTGACAATGCTTTGACCTCCAAGTGGATATATACAACCTAATCAGAATGGACTAGTTCCTGGGTTGTATTGATTTTTGAGTACATTTTTGAGAAATTAATCCCATCACCGTGGAGAGAAGTAAGTAGAATGACAGATTTAGTATAGGTCATATAATATGCTATGTCTCCTTTAGTGCAAGCATCCTTTAATTACTCTTCTGGTTGTGCAGAAAAGGGGGCATGGTTGTAGCTCATATTTAAAAAAAAAAATATGTACTGCAGGCAGGTCAACGCACAGCAAAATTCATGCCAGAAGGGTTATATATTTTGGAATGGGAAATGGAGCCCCACATTTTTTTTTAAATACATAAGAAGATGCCCCATAAAAGATAGTCATGGGAAATCAAAGAAAAGCTGGTTATAAGCTTCAGAAAAACAGAAATATTAATCTACAAAAAATTACATAAAATTTTGGGGAAACAGTCTCTAAAGCATATGTCATTCGAGGTATTACAGTTGTAATCAAAAAATAAATTTTTGCTGTGCTAAGAATTTTTTAATATATGTCATCAAGTTTGGTTGAAAACACTTGACATTCTTTGGGAAAATGGCATTGTTTGGGGCCTTAACTACTGTCACCATCAAACACACAGAGCAAACTTTGCCAAAGTAAGATATCACGTAACTGACAAGCGTCGCACTTTTCAAATCTTGTATGAATCGTGTGTTGAGTCGAAGTCCGACCCCCAAAACCAAGTGTATTCCAAATTGCTAAGAAGACTCAAATAGTCAAAGAGCAATCAATACAAACCAGCCAAAGACAACAGAACATTTTTGAGACTACTGATGTATTGAATGTAATACAGAGAAAGGCAGAGGGGCTTGATAAGTTTCTGGCCACCAAAGATGCAAACACCCGCCAAACAGGATCTCAGAAGCATTTCCAGGTTCATGAATAACATCACGGGAAGACTAAAGCAAACACAGAAGATGTTCTCAAATAAAGCAAGGTCAGTATAGTCCAACGTTGACTTTTATCTCTAAGGAAACTTATGTGTTACATAGTTAAGAGACCGGGGCTACAGTGTTCACACTTAGAAACTGCAGTCATTAAGCAGGTTGTTTTAGATCCTATGGGAACAGTTGGAAATTAACAGCAGTATCTCATTGATTGTTACTTAAAATGATTGTTATGAGGAATATGTCACTGGATGAGGCCTCCTGGAGCCATCCGAAGCCTGGACATGCCGAGGTGGCAGTGCTGCAAATCCAATGCCTGTACATTCAGTGTAAAAATATTTTTTTGTGTGTCCATTAAGAGCCCCTGGCTATTAAAACGAACTGTCGTAAGTAGAATTTAAATCAGAGCTGCCAATCAAAAGAAGTACTCTTTCTGGTTTTCATTGACTGTACTTTGTATATTAAGCTCGCTTTTCAAAACAGCCTCAGCACTGTCTACGTTCTCTGACCTTTTTGCCTCATTTCTTTTGTATAACCTTTTCTGCTGATAAATACGAATGGCAATGGCAGTGATGCAGAGCAAGATAAAGATCACAACAGCAATCAAACCTAGTGAGAGAAGAGAAAAGACACAGAAAGTCAGAATTTTTGTCCGAACATACGCTCTGTCGGTTTCATTGCTTAATAAGTCACAATAAAATTAGTTTTCACTTAAATCCAGGATCCACTGCATATAAATTGGAAATAAGAAAGCATCAGGTATCCCTGGTCCAAGTAGAATCATAATATATTGAACTCTGGAGTTCCATGAACCTGTGGATTCAGTTCTGTTTATTCCCGAATGCACATTAAATTGAATTTATATAGTACATTTATGAGGATCCTTCAAAGAGTTCATAGAGAACGGAATTAAAGGTAATTTTATTTTGATGCAAAGCAATTCAAAATCCATACATAGTATTTTTCCTCATCATATGAATTTTCCACGAATGTATTGAATACCCCTTGTATAGTTAACACAAAAGGATTATCTGCACGTCTCTAAGACCATGTAGCCACTTCATATTAAGATATAGACAAGTTTTCATTATTTAGACATGATAGACTAGTATTAACATCATAGAAGGGTTAAATGTGTTTTATGATTCAATGTGTAAAAATTATATTGAATTTTTATACTTTGTCATCCTATTGAATAGTACAAAAAGGTTGCATATAAAAATAATCCTTATTAGTGAAACATAACTTGGATACTCAGAATGAAGGAATATTGGCTTTTTGAAGCTCTAGTTAGAAATAAAAATTTTAAGTACTACAATTCTTAGTTATTTGTGTGGATATTAACCCTGGAACTCTATTAGGGCAATGTGCCTTAAGGAGAGATCTGTGAACCCTGGGCAGTCCTTAGGGTTTCCCAAGGGATCCACAGATTAGCAGATTTCACAGTAATCCTAAAATGTCATTTTCAAAGTGTTGACATTTTAATCTTTATTTTTTTTTTTTCATTCCAGGTCTAAAAGGAGGCTGGGTAAAAATCCTGGCACTTGACATGAATTAAGGCAAGGACACCAGGCTGTAATGGCAGTTATTAAATTCACAAAGTAGAAGAGACTGCACCACCAGGCAACAGCAACAAAAAGATAAAAAGCCACTCAAGAACGTCCTTGACGAAGCAGTAGAAATGACTCCTTTTATTAAAACTTGACTCTGGGTTCCAAGCCTGTTTCACGTTTGTTTGTGTTGAAGGGGGAAACACTCTCATACATGAAGTGCCAGTGGTGCACTTGGAGATATGACGGCCACCCCCAGGATGAGCGCTGTGTGGACACTGGAGTCAGGAACTGATCTGAACTAGTTGTGTGTTGCTTCATTAACACCACTTCTATCAGAAAGAATGACCAACAGACCAACTCCGGCTCTGAAGACTTGGGTGCCTAATGGATATGATCTCTAAAATCAATGAAGCAAATCTGTCACTTCAAGAAAAACAACAAGGGAGTGATCATTTAGCATAGCAATTAAGATGCCCCTTGAGACTTTTCATCCCATATCAGAGTACTGGGGTAGCAGTTCAAGCTCTGTTCCTGATCCTGGCTTCCTGCTCATGTGCAGGCTGGGAGGTAACAGGTGATACCTCAAAAAGTCGGGCCATTGCCACCTATGTGGAAGAACTGGATTGAGTTCCTGGCTACTAGTTCAGGCCTGGTGCCAGTCCTGGCTATCTATTGTAGGTATTTGGGTAGTGAACAAGCAGATGCCAGATCTCTCCATATATATTTTTTAATTTTTTATTTAATTTGAAAGGAGAGATAAAGAGAGAAAGATATATATATATATATATATATATATATATCCTTTCAAATTAAATAAAAAATTAAAATTGGAAGTGGGGCAGGAGTTGTGGCACAGTGGGTTAAGCTTCTATTTGGGATGCTAACATCCCATATTGGAATGCCAATTCAAGTCCTGGCTACTCCATTTCCACTTCCCAGCCTGTTTCCCGCTAATGTGTCTGGAATCTGTGGATGATGGTTCAAGTATTTGAGTTCCTGTCATTCATGTGGGAGACCTGTATAGAGTTTCTGTCTCCTGGCTTCAGCCTGGCCCAGACCCAGCTGTTGAGACCATCTGGGGAGTAAACCAGCAAATGGAAGACAGATGGCTAGATAGGTAGATAGATGGATACACAGACAGACAGATAGACAGAATCTCCCCTCTCTCTCCCTGTCACTCCAACTTTTAAATATATAGATATATAAAATATATACATAAATACATAAATAAATCTTTACAAAAATAAGACTGGAAACAGATAAAATTTACAAATCTCTTTTTTAAAAAAGAAAAATATGACAGCATATTGTCAATTATAAAATTGAAACTTTCAAATGAAAAAAAAATGAAATTTGAAAACCTATCATCCATCTGTATACATCTCAGAGTTTCCTAATACATAAAGACTGCTCCAATGAGATCAGCAGCATTACTACCCAAAGCTGCTTTTCTTGGACAAAAATGGGTGCCATGGAACAACAATGCGGGTCCAGTCTTGTGAGGGAAAACAAAGACTCCGTTCCAGTATAAAGCAGGCATACACATCTGTGACGGAGTCTACCTCCACCAAAACGTGAGAGTTCTTTTCACCCCCAGGAGATTCCTGAGCACACAACCACTAAGCAGGTTCGCTGCAGTCAATCAAAACACTGGCAATGGCCAAGCCCAGTTTTGGCTAGCTCAGCCTTCCCTGAGAAATATTCCTTGCCTATTAATCTAGTACTGCTGGGGTCGGTAGAATAACCTAGTAACGTACCTGTTCCTTAACTCTTTAGATCCTGCCAGTGACACTGGCTTGACTGTACAACACTCCACTTTGATACTTGGTCTGTGTGTATATTTACCTACATGAATACGAAGTGAATGCTTGGGAAGAGCCCTATTATGAGACTAAGATAATCTGACCAGGAATCGTAAAGTGTTGACTATATTGTAAATACTACCACTTTAAGTGAGTTTTGATTGTTTTATATACATATAGTATATATACACACAGTTATTAACTATTCTTTATAGAGTTTTCTGTTTGGGGATATTCTTCATATTAGGTGATTAAACAGAGATCCCATTTTGTGTATCTTTAGTTTACACATCATTAATTTGAGACAATTAAAAGGAAACAAAATAGCAATGGTTATGTTAATATCCTCACAGATTTGACTAGTATCATTTGCTGTCTAAATAAAACCCTAACTATATGAAGGAAGTCTGTGTCTAGATGAGTAAGGGTAAAAAAAACTGAATCAACTGGATCAGATATAAACCCACATAAGTTGCTCCAGTAGATGAATAATCACACTATCTAGCAATGCAAAGAGTAATTGTTGACTTTTATATGTCCATATCATATTCAGAGTGTGGAGAAGAGGTGAACCACTTAACATTTCAATAATCTGATTAATAACATTCTTAAGAGCATTAATCAGGAAGAAGAAAGGTTTATTTTTGGAGATGGTTTTGAATAAATTATGTCTCAGAGAATATGCTGTCATTTTGCCAGGCAATTTACTTCGAACGTTCCTGTGTTGGGGATAGTGTTACGGCACAGCAGGTATTGGAGTGCCAGTCCAAATCTCGGCTGCCCGGCTTCCCATCCAGCTCCTTGTTAATGCACGTGGGAAAACAAAGGAAGCTGACCCGAGTACTTGGGACCCACTCCATATGGGAGACCCAAATGGAATGCCAGGGCCCAGTCATGTCTATTGCCGCCATTTGGGGGACTGAACCAGCATATGAAAGATTGCTTTCTCTGTGTGTGTCTCTCTCTGTCACTCTGCCTTTTGAATGAATAAAATAAATCATTTTTAAAAGTTTTTGAGTTACTTCCACAATTCGAAAATGTTACTAACCACTTTGAGTCCCTTAATCTAATATTTGATATTAAAAATGTAGCTGAAAGTGTAAGATTCATTGAAGAGAGTGCCTAAGCCATGTAATATCCATTTTGTTAAGTGTTATAGCAACACACAGTACGTGCTCTGAATGATGATCTCAGGTTTTTCCTACTTTTTGCATGAACCATTGAAGAAGCAGCGATACACATGTCTAGGAAGTTAAGAGAAATGACACTTCTTCAAAACTATTCAGAAATCCCTAGGGATTATAGATAGCCATTTTCAAAATAAAATAGTATCTATTATTACAATTTAGATATTATTATTCCTTGAGTGTGGTATTTCAGCGATTTGTCAATTATTTATACAGAAAACTTCCAAGGAAGCAGAGAATTGAGAAAGATTCCATAAGATAATCCATACAAACAGCAAACCACCCCCTCGATACTCAGAAAGCAGGATCTGGCATTTGGGATATATACAGAGTATTCACAGATAATTTCCACAGTGCTAAGTCATCACTGTTAGCCATGATACCAAGAACCAAAGCAGGGCTTGTCCCCGTTTTCCTGTTACCTCCAATGACTGCAGAGTCACTTTTGATCGCATGAGCTAACGGTTGTCTTTCATCTATTGCTCCAGAATGATCTGCAGGGAAAGTACAAAATAGGGAGGAAGAGACAGAAGTAAGTGAAAAGTGGGAATTTGAAAAAAAGTCATAAATGTTTTAAGCCGAAACAGAATGATGGAGGTGCATGTGGAATCTGTCATTTTCAATTTAAGCAATGTCAACGGCAATGGCCCACATTAATGAGAAACTAGAGTAGAAATAAGAAAGCAAACCAAAACTCAAAGAAACCCAATTTTAAGATAGTGTTTTGAGAATGTGGCAAAGCAGCACCACCCGAGGTTTTCAACACTGGGTGGCGAAGCTGGGTTGGTAAACAGGTAGGCGAAGAGTCAAAATTCACCTGCCAATGAGTGTGTCCTTTCCCGTGATGTGGCATCAGTGCCAGCCTGGGCCACACAGCTGGACTCAATCACATGTCCTGTAACAGTGACTGGCGCAGGGTGGCTGGGGCGCAGAGCAGCCTTGAGCGGGGCCACGTGACTGAGCTGGACTGCAGAGAGGCAGCCTGTAAAGCCCTGGGCGCCAGCCAGTGCCGTCTCCTGGTCCATCTCCCCGTGTTCTAGAAGTCCAAAGAAACACTGAATATTAATGACAGTGCAAAGTGCATATGATATTTGGATGTGGCTTGTCCCCCAGGGGCCCACGGGGCAGACGGATGGTCAGCAGTGTGCCAATGAGGAGCGATGGTGGGGCCTTTAAGAGGTGGGACCTCACAGAATATCATTAAATCCTCGGGGATGCTGCCCTCAGAAGGGATTAATGCAGTTCTTAGGAGGATCTGGGGTTAGTTTTGCTGAGTGTGTGGATGAATTGTTATAACACAGTGCTACCCCTCCCTCTGGTTTCCGGTCTCACTTTTGGTCTTTTACACACATGCCCTGATGCTCTGGCAGTTAGACTCTCCCCAGAGACTGAACCAACGGGGCTACTCAATCCTGCAGCTCCGAACTGGGAGCTAAATACACTTCCTTGCTTCCCAAGCACTCACCTTCAGGTATTCTGTTATCGTCATGGAAAACCAAAACAGCACAAATGGGGAAGGATACAGGAAATGAATATTCAGAGACTGTCCATGCAACAGCAATAAATACAACAGCTAGCAAATCCCTTTTTCTTCTGTCTCTATTAAAAGCTTTATACCTGCTAAGTGTTTTCCACAACTGAAGCTGAGATTTCTCACGTTACCGAAGACAAGTTTTGAACTATGACTAATTAAGAATGAGAGGGTGGACTCTCTAGAAGTGAACAAAACCTCCAAGAGAACAGGTCAGGTTGTGAACTGACGAGGGGTCACAATATTTTAAATTTAAAAATAGATCATTAAAATGTATTAAGGACAGGGTTTGTAGTCCACATCGAGAGGTGTGTGCCCCAGGTTTCCGCTCCGTTTTTTAGACTTGAGTCATAAAAACATGAAAAGTTAAAGGAAAGATTAAGCCTCTGGAGCTCCCTTACCATTTACCCAACCAGACCATTAGACTTGCCTGCAAGCTCGCTACAGCATTCTGGCTCCAGCTAAACATGTCTCCGTATCGCTATAGCATGGACTTAACTGCAAAGTGATTAGGGTGTCTCCGTAATCATGCATGTACAGCGCTAGCTGTTCCTCAAAACAGTTGGAGTTTGGTTAGTATCAGACTCCTGTGGACAGAGACAGGTTTGAAGCCCAGAAGCTTCATTCATAATTTTACAGTTAAGAATGCAGCCTCCATACGAGTTGCTTTGCAAGCATGGAATCTAACCAAAGGCAACTGCCTGTCAAGTATTAAGACTCAAATGTTAGCAGACGGCAATGCAACCAACCGCCAGTCACCAGGATCGCTGTGGTACACAGCTACGCTCCCCAACGTGGCACAAATGCAGGCACAAACAACTTTTGCATTTTCCTTTCTCATTTTACAAAATAGTAGTAGCAGCTATTGAGTAGTGATTCAGTGCGTGTTACATACTGGGTCCTGATCTAAGGGATTTTCATGTTACCATTCAAGTGTTATGGGAGCTACAGGAGCATCCCACTCAAATCATATGGATGAGACAACCAGGGTCAGAAGTTCAAGGATTTTGCCTGGGGCAACACAGTTGTTGGCATAACATGCGGGACCCCCAGGCCTTTCGGGCTCCAAATCCCGTGCTTCTTGTGTTCCTGAACTGCTTTCTGGATGAGTCATTCCTTCCTTCACTGCACTTAATGTTTCTAGCGAAAGGCTTGGGCACAGTTCTGAAGAACTGGGCATTCTTTCTCTGAAGGAGCTACCGTGTCTTCTTCCATCTAAGATTCTGAAGAGCACTTCCTTTGGGCTCCACTTGCAATCGCATGCTATACCTAGTAGTAAAAATCCTGATGAAATGTTTAGCATGGGGAGTCTCATTCTCTGGGAAAGAAGAAAGCTAAAAATCAGAGCAGTTATTGCACTGTCCTATTTGGGCACCTGGAGTTCAGGACCAGGCATTTTCACCCTGGGAGTCCTGTCCTGATTCTCCCTCCCCCCACCCCAGGCTCTCCTGCCTCATTACACGCAGAGAACACGCAGAGAAACTCACGCTGGCTCATGTGTGAGACGGGGAGCTCCGTGAGCATGTACTGGATTCCCTGTACCCAGCACTGTGCTGTTACACGGGAGACACAGCATCATTGTGACAGAAACACGGGGATGACGCAGTCTGTCACAAAAGCTGTCACTCATGCGGATACATTTCCAAGGCAGACACACACGTATACACACACATACATACACACACACACGTACAAACACACACATACATATTTTAGAAAAAAGCATCCTGGCTCTGCAGTTCTTTGTTTTGTCTTCTATCTTAACGAGAAGTACAAAGGAAATATTCTTCAATGGCAACATTACCAGGCATATGTTTTCACGTTGCTTCTACAAGGTTAAAATATTGAATGTGATTTCTATGGGCTTTTCAAAACATCTTTCCTTTTTAATTCAACAGTCAGGATTCACTTCCCTGGTAAAAATCTGATATAAAATGTATTTTTAAAACTTCACACTTCTCAAGTGAAAACATTTTATATATCTAGAAACTACTGTGCTAAAAAATTTAACCTAGAAAACTTAAAATGCACAGTTAAGCGATTAATATTTACTGTTCTGAAAACTAAGGATAACAAAACCAGTTCTAAGAGGTTTAAGCATCCCACAGTTTCCTCGGGAGGATGGACAATAAACTCAAACAAGAAGGAAATGAGAATTTTGAAGAGTGATAATGCTGCAAAGAAACTAAACTAGACAGCGTGATGGAGTGTGTCTGGAACATGAAATTATCGTGATGGATTAGGTGGTTCCGTGTGTGTATTCTGAGGACCACGGGGCTCCATCCTATTCGCCCCGTCCCCTGGGGCTACTACTTCTGCATTGCCTGGCTCCATTACTTCTTTCTCAGAATTTATAAGAGTATCTGTGACTTTACAATTTTCATCAGGTTGTTGCCGGGTGTGTATGTTTTCTGGGATTTTCTGCATAGAACATGGTGAGGGCCTTCAATCTGCAAAGTTTTCCTTTAGCTTGGCAATCTTCACACACTGGGCATGCAACTGCTGCTTCCCTTTGTCCAGCTCATGTTTTTGGAATGCATTTACTCACATTCAGTCTCGGCTCTGCAAGCATTTTCTAAACCTATGTCATTTTTCTTCCCGATTGCTATCATTTAATACTTACTTCTGTGTGCAAATGTTCCATTCACTTAATCTTCCCAGGTAACTTAATTTTTTTTTTTTGACAGGCAGAGTGGACAGTGAGAGAGAGAGACAGACAGAAAGGTCTTCCTCACCCTCCAATGGCCGCCGTGGCCAGCGCACTGTGACCGGTGCACCGCGCTGATCCGATGGCAGGAGCCAGGTGCTTCCTCCTGGTCTCCCATGGGGTGCAGGGCCCAAGCACTTGGGCCATCCTCCACTGCACTCCCGGGCCACAGCAGAGAGCTGGCCTGGAAGAGGGGCAACGGGGACAGACTCTGGCGCCCTGACCAGGACTAGAACCTGGGGTGCCGGTGCCGCAAGGTGGAGGATTAGCCTAGTGAGCCGCGGCGCCGGCCCCAGGTAACTTAATTTAATCCCCCAAAAAAGATCTCTCTTTCTTCTGGAATTTTTTAGTTTGGAAAAAAGTAATATTTCTTGGTCTCTCAAGGTTTTCTTGTGATTTACCAGAATTTCCTTAGAGTACTCCTATTAAGTGATATTCATATTATTGTGTATCTCCTTGCACAGTTTTAGTTTGATAGGGAATTATTCTCAATTTTTTTCCTCCCCTTTTATTAATGTCAAATCCTTTCTAAGTATGGGGTCTTCATTTTGGTTTGGTTGGTTTACTGAGCTGCTTGTAGGTGCTCGGTTACTTTCTGCTGTAAGTGGCTGACCCCAGAGAATACAATGTGGAGGTCTGTGTCCCCCAACACGAAGGCAGCTGCACGTCAAAGCACTGAGAAGACTTCTTTCCTCCCCACCCAATCACAGTACAGAAAGGATTTGTCCCAAACCCCAGGCGATCCTGAGCTCCTTGGGAAACAGGGAAAGCAGGCACATGGGTGATTCTGGAAGCTGATCTTTGCCAAAGGAACTCTGTAAGGCAAACATTGCCCACAATCCATAGTTTAAATTCTCCCTCTAAGATTTCCCTTTTTTATTTCACTTTTTAATTTTTTTTAAAAAAAGATTCATTTATTTGAAAGTCAGAGTTTCAGAGAGAGAGAGGGAGAGGGAGAGAGGGAGAGAGCGAGAGAGGGAGAGAGGGAAAGAGGGAGAGAGGGAGAGAGAGAGGGAGAGAGAGAGAGAGATCTTCCATCCAATTAACTCCCTAGATGGGCACAACAGCCAGTGCTGGGCCAGGCTGGAGCCAGGAGCTTCTTCCTGGTTCCTCACGTGGGTAGCAGGAGCCCAAGCACATGAGCCATCGTTTTTGCTTTTCCCAGGCCATTAGCAGGGAGCTGGACTGGAAGTGGGGCAAGCAGGACACCAACCAGAGCTGATATGGGATGCTGGCATCAAAGGCAGCGGCTTTACCTGCCACACCACCATGCTGGCCCCTAAGATTTTTCTAGGCTGGCCCTGGGACACTTCCAGCCTAGAAGGTAGGGATTCCCATGGCAGCTTCTTCCCTGGCACCCTCCACTCCACCCTGCCTGTTGCACTTGGCTAACAGCTCCTTGATGCAGAAGCATCAGCAGGCTGAGAGTCAAGGGGAAATTCAAAGACTTAGTAATCAACTTTCCCAAACTCAGGTTAAGCAAATTACAGCTAAATTAAGTTCTCACAGGTAAAGCTGACCTTAGAAATACATGACGTCAGACATCTGCCTTGACAACTGTGCTAATAAAGCCAATGAACGAACATATATACAGGGACTTCAAGAAGTGCATGGAAAATGAGTATTATGGGAAAAAAATGATGTGGCTTTCAAAATTTTTGTACCAAGGAGAAATTTATCTTTTGATGACATTTTCCACGAATGTGTCGCAATGCCTTTCTGTCTTCCCTGTTATCTGAAATGTCAACGGACTATACTGGGTTAGGAGAAAAAGTGGGGGAAGGAAATGAAGACAGAA